CATGGAGATTGACATTTTTCATGCATACACAGACAGCTGATTCAGTGAGGTGTCCTCTCAGTGAAATGAGTTCGAGCTTAACATCCCAGCAGCCTTAAGGAACTGATGTTAACTAATGTGAAACAAAAAGAGGAGGAATAAGATGATAATAGGCACAAAGTCTGACCTGGTTCAGGAGCGTCTGCCTCCTTACCTCTGTAGTTGATGATTTCAGTGCCCAGGACGGCGGTCATCTCCAGCACAGTAATGAAGGCCTTGTCCATGGAGGTAAGGGGGAAAGGGGACATGCGGTGCCTCCGGGCGACTTTTGTGATGTCCACTGCACTGTGACCTGCGGGTGAGACAAAGGTTGGACACACTGACATAAAGAAGTTGGCCAAAAAAAAAACCAACTAAATATTCTTCTCCGGGTGTCACTCTACCATCACTTCTGTCATAACTTATAAACCTTTCCGAGGTCTTGTCTGCATTTTGGTCCAGCCTCAAACATACATGACAAGGTGTTCCTTCAAAGACATTAAGCTTAACCTTTTTAGCATTTCAGATCTTTATTTAGAAACTTTGAACGGTCTTTGAAAGTTGACAGCGCTCCGTTGGGACTCTGTCACACAAGAGTAAACGACGTCAGAAACAGGACCACTCCGGATCTCCAGAGGCAAACACACGTGTTACCTTTAAAAGTCTTCGTTTCCTTATTTTTAAAACAGACTTTTATCAGTTTGCGTAACTTGAGCTCGCAGCTGAAAAAATACAGTACAGATGGCAAAATAATTTGTTAAATTTTTTGGGGGAGGAGGGGGGGGGGGAAGAAAGAGTCTGAAATATACAATTATATAAATAAAAAAAAAAAACAACAGTCACACTAACATAGGAGGATTGGATTAAGAAGATTTATTTTCTCCTCTGTGTGCAGGTGCATCTGTGCAAGAACACAATTTGAATGAGCAGAGGTTGGCAAGGCACACTGACATGTTTGTTTTCACATGCTGTGGAGCACAGCTGGATGATTCAGGTGCTCGATAGCAGCTGCGTTGATCTAATAATACCTCTCTAATAATTCCAAACGTAAAACGGAACAAAGCTGTGTGTAACTAATGCGTAATCTGCTTTCTTTCCCTCTGTCTTTATGTCTTCCTACCTCTCTCACCCCCTCTGCTTCTCTGCCTCCCAGTGAAGAATAGCCGCCACGCTTTGATTTCCCTTGACCTAATTTTCCTTCCTTTAAACATACACTTACGCTTCTGCAGCATATTCTTAAAGCTTAACATGAAGCTTAACAACTGCTGGCACACACATGGATGCATAAGCATAAGACAGCAGCCACACACAGAAAAAAACACACACACACACACACACTTGAATCTATTTATGAGCTTGGCAGAGCAGACGGTAGAAGAAAGTAGCTAGAACTCACTTGATCTTAGGATATTTTCTTTGCTGCTGCATCGTGACTGCACCTGAAGATGGATAGAGACAACGGGGGAGCGGAGAGAAAGAGAAACAACAAAGGTGGTAATTTTTGAAATGAAGTCACACGAAATAAACCAAAGTTGATCTTTTGAAACGGTCGAGGTGACAAGCTGGTCGTACAACATTCAGAAGCACTAGCAAAAGCTGCTTCACACAACACTGTGCTCTTTGTTCAGCTTAGGGGAGATGGCTGCATCTCCTGCTTTACGTTTCAAACATTTAAACTAACAGCACAAGTGGTAGTCACAGATAAATGCGCTCACATGTCACGCTGTCGTTAAAGAGAGCAGAGGACTGTACGGACAAATGTGACGACATACAGAGTGACGATAATCACATCACACACAAAAATAAAATCATATCATAAAAGATGTTAGAACTGTGCTTGATTGACTTTGACATTGAATGCAGTGAAAATGCTGTGCCGAGTATTGATCAGCTGTTCAGATGTGGCGCGGGATGGAAAGATTCCTCTGGGAATCTTGGATGCTGAGTGGGAGCTGCTTCTCGTAACTCTATGGTGAAGTGGGGAGGAGAGCAGAGATGGATAAAATTAGGCGAGTTTCCAGCAAAACACACGAAACCATTTTTTGTAGCAAATATCACGATGCCGATGTAATTATAACCCTGGTCTTATGGATTTGTTCTGGAAAATGGCAACTTTGGAGTTTTTTTGATCTGAACCGAAATGAAGAACATTCTCTTCGACTGTAGAAACTACATAGAAAGCAGATATTAGCAACAGCTTTAAAACTATGACCCCTTATTTGGGAGAAGTTTGCTCTCAAGTATGATTAAATTGACCCTTTTCCTAAAGAAGCACTGCTAGTGTGGAGGATTTAGTGACAACTAGTGGAAAGGTCACAGATGGCAGCTAAATAAGTACCTGCTTACACAACATTCTACGTGAATTATACGCCAGAACTGAGAAAGGATGTAGTTTTACTCTAAAACACGTTAGAGTCCCTTTTTAAAATTCCCGTGCTGCCACTAGACGCAAGGAGGTTCATTAAAGATACATGTTTAAATACACAGCATAAAAATGTAGTTTTTCTCCACTCTCTAACATTTAGCATTAGTAAAATGATTTGTGAGAATTTTTAACTTCAGTTTTCCTCAAAGTCGCCACGCCTCCTTTGTATTTGGTAGGTTTGGCTTTGAACTATATGACTTGTATCAAACATGTTCTGCAGGCTGACTTGCTCACACACATTTGTTTGGCTCTGATCACAAATTTTCTATAGGGCTTCAATCGAGGGTTAGTGGTCGTCACTACAAAACATTGACTTTACCGTCTTTAGTTTGTAAGTAAAGCAAACTAGTTTGTGATGTGCTCCAGTCCCTGAATGGCTGGAATAGAGTTCTCAGGACTACAAGGCTTTTTCCTTTATGTGTAATAATGTTCATACTGACCTAAAATCTGATTTAATGTCATATACAGTAAAAAAGGCAGCTTTTTGTACAGGATGTCCTGTTACAGCATTTATTCTTGACTAAATTTATTGACTAGTATTATTCAAACATGCTTTAAAGGGAAAGTTTAAATCACATCACAGGTCTTCAAATAATGAAACCTATACAAAGAAAAAAATGGTTTTATAAAATATTTGACTAATTCATTACAGTTGTGTTCATAAGCAGATCACTGAAAACAAAAATTTAACAAATGTATTGAAATGTTTCTCATTATTAATATGTGGAGTGGTATTTGGACAGCACTCTAATGATACAACAGCAACCTTTTCTATTTCACAAGTAACCAATTCACACTTTGCAGAACTCATAAAATCTGTACTTAAGTGCAAAGAGAAAGATCACAGTTGCAAATGCCATCAATATTTCCAATCTTATTCTGCAAGTCCACCTTCAGAATCAAGTAGAAGCAGTGCAATGTTAAGATCCTGAAATACATTTCTTAAATTTGGTGCACTGGTAAGATTCTGAAATTGTATTTTTAAAATATTTTAAGATCTTATCAATGCAACAAAGTTTTAAAATGATCTGTAGTGGTTAACAAGTTTTAAAAATGTTGTGCATTGGTGGGATTTTATTAAAACCCTGGAGCACAATTTGAAAAAAAGAAAAAAAGGACAAGGTTTTGTTAATGCAACACATTTAAAAAAAATTATCTCTCATAATTGTATGCGATAAGAATATCGTAAATGTGGTGAAGTGGTATCTTCCTCCAGCATCCTTTTAAAAATATTATGAACTCATAGGACTCTGATGCACAACTTAAAATCTTGAGTTTATGAAATGTATAAAAAGTGGTGCATGATCAGCATGTTGCTGCTTAATTCTGCATGTAGGATGTTTTCTTATGCTTTTGGGATCTCAGTCATGGGGGTAAAGAAATACAAGAAGAACAATGACTGAGTGCTCTTAATTGACCCACAGCATTCACATTTTTTGAGATTATCTTTTATTTTCCTTAATGAATGCAGGTCAAATTAAAGAACAAACTAAAGGCACGTCAGTCTCAAACTTTAACATTCAGTGGCGTCAGCTGAAACTGCCTTGTTTGCAGTCATTATCTGTTTTGTCCTAACATGCCCTTCACTCACTCTGGGATCTCTCTAAGTCATCCCTTCCATCTCAATGGCTTCTGTGACCTTTAATCATTAAAAAAAAAACAAAAAAAACAAGCTGGGTGCGGGTGGCGTGTGATGTATGGAGAACTGAGACACCCATGGCAAAGGTGAAGGTCTCTCTCTAATCACCTACCCGCCCCTTGCTGTCTCCTCCCCTCCCTAAGCTGATACTGCAACACCAAACAGCCAAGGTGAGAGGGTGGAGAATAGGTGGTGGGGAGTGATGGAGAGTGAAAAAGACAGGAAAGGTGAGGTTGATAGCCAAAGGAGGCGAGGAACGATGGCGATCAGCATGATGTGATCCCGCAGCCCGGAAACAAACAAACAAAAAATTTAAAAAATGGGACAGACTTTTCTAAATTACAGAGCTGCGACATAGCAGAGGGAAGAAAAAACAAAACAAAAAACAAAACTAAACAAAAACAGTAAAGACCAATAAAGCGGTCTCAATGGCAACTACTTAACAGACATCCAGCACACCAGACAAAAACTACTGAAAGCAGACCACGTTAACCGGAGAGACAGAAACAGAGATAGCCAGGCAGATGAGGGAAGAGAGGGAGAGATGGGAGAGAAACGACAAAAGACGGAGAGGATAAGAATCCTGACAGAGTGAGTGAGGGAATAACAAGACAAAGAGTGACGGGAGTAAACGAAGGACAGGCCGAGAACAAGAAACAGACGATTTAGAAAGTGAGAACGGTGAGTGATAGCCAGAGAAACAGCTAGGCAAGCGAGGGGGAAAGAGGGAGGGAAAGAGGGCGGGGAGGAGGGTTTGGGGGGGCAAAGAGCAGGGCATTTGATTTGCGCGCTCCTGCGAGGAGGGTTGAGGGAAGGGGAGAGAGGAGGGGAACGGGGAGGGGGCGGGATAGTTACTCGAGAGCTGAAGGTCCTCCTGCGATCATCTTTAAGCACCTCCAACCTACAATGGAGCTATAGTGGAGATAAAGCATTGAATCACAGGCATCAGTGCATCTGTCCCAGCAACCACAACAGCACAGTCAGACATGGCAAACAGACGGACGGGAGGAACAAACACACAGACGGGTATCCACCACGACAAGCAACCCTGGCAGGTGCAGCAATGAGAGGGCTTAGAAAGAGAGAGAGGGGGTAAAAAAAAAAGAAAGAAAAAAATTGGGGGATTTTTATATGGCCTCATTGAAGACTCTCCAATGGCGATCAGTAAAAGCTTGCAGAATTTGGACTTTATTAACCCTGCATCCTTTAAGTTATGTTTGTGCTGTTTTTTGTTTATTCCCATTTGGTTCATTCAAGTCTGAGAAGCTGTTAAGTGTAAATTACTCTCTGGTCTCCAAGTGTGTGTGTGTTTTTCTTTTCTTTTTTTTGCGTGAGAACAAATTTGAGCTTAGTAAATTATTGCTCTGTAGTGATTTTATTCCTTGAAGGTCCATTAATCCAAATGAAGAGATTGCTATCAAGCTGACTAACTCTCTACTCAGCGTTCAGTTAATTGTAAATATATCAGTTTAGACCGTGATAATTGTGGGTTTGATTTTGTCCTTGCCCTTGAGAAGGATTTTAGTATTGCATTATTTATGTGGTTATGTATCAAAAATGGAAAGGTTTAAACTCAAATTACTACTTTTTAGTAATTTGAGTTTTCAGTGTACATAGCTTTTAAATAACTTTATCCCTTCTTAAATAAGTATAGCTTTCAATTGTGATAAAAAAATTTGATTCAAAGACTCATTAAATCAGAAAAATATAGGTATCCAATATTCAACATTGAGCTTTATGCAACTTTATAGGTTTGATGCATTTCATATGTTTTGTATTCTGCTGCTGAATAACCTGGAAGTCAGTCGTCAGTAATGTAAATTTTTGGACGTCATTAAAGACATAATGACTCATTTTTTCTACCTTCTGTAAGAATGATCTAAAGTCACACTATCTTCTCACTTTTACTACCATCTGCTTTTCCTTTGACTTATATTTGGTCCTTTTTGTCCAGGAAGCATACAGTGTCAGCATTCTTCCTCTGGCACTCTATTTTGTAATTAATAAACTTGGATCTGGGTCATTTTGCTATTCCTGGTCGCCCAGTTTTTTTTATTTATTTGTCATGCAAATCACTAGGATTTTTGCATGAAGTGACTCTTGATAATGTCCATCAAATTTCAGGGTTTCAGATACCAGGGCCCTGATCTTTTTCTAACATCTTGTGTGAACACAAATAAACTGTAATCTTCCACACATGCAGATTTGCACAGCGGCTTTGCAGATTATTGGCATCCCTAGCAAAACGTGTGCTTTAAATACATGCATATCTTATTACAAGACTATAATCTCAAACAGTTGCACAAAAAGCGTCTTTAGAGAAATTTTAAGATCATATATTAAGCCCTCATTTTTTGTGGGGTTTCTGGTCCTCATCAAGTGTCTCAAATCCAGTTCTAAACTTTAATAATTCTTCCTTTAGGTTAGTTTAGTGATGCATCTATGTTCTTATTGCATTTCCTGACTTATCAAATCAGCAAAAAATTTGTTTCTGCATTAATTACATCCTGTGCAAACTCCTGTTTTAGCTCCTCGTCCCATAAATCAGATACGACATCAGCATCACATCCATCCCTCATCCCTACACTGTGCACCGAACAGGGAGAACCCCATTCCCTATTGGATAAACATGCAAAAAGCAATAGAAAATTAACTAAATTTTAACCTTTTATTTATGCACTATATCAAAATCTGCTACAACAACAACAAAAAAAGATTCCTACTGCAATTAAAAAATAGGTGTATTTTAAGGCAGATAATGCGATTGATGCATATTAATTTTACATCACTGACTGAAGATTCCATGCATTTATAATTGTTTTATTAATGTTGAGCTCTTTTTGTGCTTGATTTCAAGTCCTTTTCAGGGGACTCATATTAGAATCCCATGGAAATTTGCAAGGCAATAGGATTTGTGCTAGAACTGCCCATATAATATACTAAAAAAGAGCAATAGGGAAATGCAAGAAAAAACAAAAAAACACAAGATCTATGGCAGCTAAAAGCAGCTACAGCAAGACACAGATCGAGCCTGAACACAGGTAAAAGCACAAACAATGTGACAATCAAAAACTAGGCCTAAAAGCAGTGAAAATGCAGAATTTTAAGAAAATATGTGATCGAAGATGAAGAATCGCATAAGAATCTCCCTACCTTGCTGGTCTCTTTAAGCACATCACAACAATAAGAATAAAAGCTACCTTCTATCTTCCAGTTTCGCATAAGCCTTATAGTAATAGACCTTCACCTGATTTACAGAATACAACTAAAATCTTCACAGCAAGTTTAAAAAAAAAAAAAGCTTATTATGGGGGCACAAAAACAAACCAAAACAACAAAAGTAGAACAAAACATTTTGGTGCAGAAGATGGCACCATCAGTAAGCCATAGGCAAAGACAGTTTGCAAATGGATATGAGTGCACTGGAGGAGGGACAGGTAGATGTGTGGGGAAGTGAGGAGAATATGAGAAATGTGGGTGCAAAAGCAGATTTGTCTGTTTTTTTTATATATATATATATATTCACTGTGAGAAGAAAGAGGAGAGGTGTTTTAGTTGGCTTTGGTCGCCTCTGCCCCCCTGGGATCAAGCCGAGGACAAAATGCTAAAAAGGGGGCATGGAGTCAGATTGGGAGAGGGTCTGGCAAAATGACACAAAGTTAATGCAAAAAAAGCTCCAGTCTGGAGAGAGGAGGAATGAGTAAAGGTGTAGTAGTGATGCTTTTTACCACCCACATCGCTCCTCTGTTAATTCTAGTTCTTACAGTGTAGTGAAACAGTCATTGTCCAATTACAGATTTCTTCTCTTCTCACTCCCCCCTCCTCACACTTAAATGTTTCAGATAATCAATCACATGTTAATATTGATTAAAGACAAAACAATTTTCAAAGCTGTCTGAACCAGTCTGGCCATCAGTGAAAAAGTAATTACCCCCGAAATCTAATAGTCTCTTTAAGGTCTTAGCACACTGTTTAAACTGGATTTAATTACAGACTTTGACTAGGATTTATATCGTTCTGTTTACATTTTTAGTGGAGTTGGTGGCGTGCAGTGGGTCCAGTAGGAGGGGTTTTGATGTTATTCACATGGTTTTGAATCAGTTATGCAAAGCAACTTTATCTGAAGCAGGAGTAACGCACAAATCCAGAGACTTGAAGATGGGGACCAGTTAGTGCAAGCTCTCAGACAAGATGGTGACACACAATCAGATCCTTGAGCTTTTCTGATTATCCGGTGCTAGAAGAGCTTATTTACATCTGTCTCAGAGATCTCTCGTCCAGGCAGGGGTTCTGAGGAGAGTAAGGTAGGAGGTGCAGGTTGAGTTTTTGTGTCAGGGTGAAATGCGGAGAAGTTTGAGGGATGCGTGGCTTTTCAGACCTACGGTAGAAGCCGCTGTGGTTGCATGCCAGGGTTCCGCTCCAGATGGGGGGAAGGGCTTCGTTAGTTGGTTTTAAAGTAATCCCATCAGAGGTCAGTGAACTGCAGGTGTATAAGCTAAAGTATGAGGATAAGCACCGCACAAATCCACAAGGTTACAAGCCACAGGAAGATCAAGCAGCTCAGATTGTCTTTCCAAGATCAGGATGGCAGAAGATTGGGGAAAGCAGGCGTTTGCTCCCTGGAAGAACAATGAAGAAACTACAAGGGGCTCTGCTTTCACATACACAAACAGCAATCATACAAGAGGTATGCTTTTAATTTGGAACCAATTAGGGTTAAAGTTAGTGTTATCAGAGAATAAATTAATATTTTAAACATATGTGGAAGAGTTTGTACAGTTTTACAATCTGCAGTGTAAGCAGAATAACATATGTTGTAATTTGTGCAGTGATATTTAAAGTGTCTGCTGGCACAAAGTAAACTTTAGTGAAGTGTTTGAAATTGTATTTATTAGTTGACTTCGATTTGAAGACAAACTAATTAATCTGCATTTACACAATATTTTCCTTGCATGCCAGTAAGTAATATGATTGTTGAAGACTCCAAGATGTGAACTTGTGCTTCCAGATCCGTTTGAGGGACCAAACTACCACATTGCTCCCCGATGGGTTTACAACATCACAACAGTCTGGATGTGTTTTGTGGTCGTCTTATCAGTCTTCACAAATGGTCTGGTCTTGGTAGCCACGGCAAGGTTCAAGAAACTCCGTCATCCCCTGAACTGGATCTTAGTCAACCTTGCCATTGCCGATCTCGGAGAGACGGTCTTTGCCAGCACCATCAGCGTGTGCAACCAGTTTTTTGGATATTTTATTTTGGGACATCCAATGTGCGTCTTTGAAGGCTACGTTGTCTCGACTTGTGGTATTGCTGCTCTTTGGTCCCTGACTGTCATCTCTTGGGAGAGATGGATTGTTGTATGCAAACCTTTTGGAAATACCAAGTTTGATGCCAAATGGGCGACAGCTGGGATCGTGTTCTCCTGGGTCTGGTCGGCAGTGTGGTGTGCTCCTCCCGTCTTTGGATGGAGCAGGTACTGGCCCCATGGGTTGAAAACGTCCTGTGGACCCGATGTGTTCAGTGGAAGTGAGGACCCCGATGTCAAGTCCTACATGATTGTCCTCATGATTACATGCTGCGTCACTCCTCTGGCTGTCATCGTCTTGTGCTACCTGGCAGTGTGGTTGGCCATCCATGACATTGCTATGCAGCAGAAGGAATGCGAGTCGACCCAGAACGCCCAGAAGGAAGTATCTAGGATGGTTGTTGTCATGATCTTGGCTTTTTGTGTATGTTGGGGACCTTACGCCTTTTTTGCTTGCTTTGCCGCAGCCAACCCCGGATATGCCTTCCACCCGTTAGCTGCTGCCATACCTGCATACTTTGCCAAAAGTGCCACCATCTACAACCCGGTCATCTATGTCTTCATGAACCGACAGTTCCGCACATGTATCATGCGGCTTTTTGGGAAAGAGGTGGACGATGGCTCTGAAGTGTCCACCTCAAAGACAGAGGTCTCCTCTGTGGCTCCTGAATAAACCTTCATATCCTCTGTTTTTTATTTTATTTTTTTTATAATTTTACCTGTATGTAAAATATAATTTGTTTTATTTTAAAAGCTTAAATGTGAAGGTTTTGTGTGTCAATGCATGAAATGAACTTTAAGTAATTATTTTAAGAACTCATGGATGTGTTAATGCAGTAATTCTGGTAAGTCAACTATTCACCAATACTCCCTGTTGTCTGTATTTGTGACTAACAGCTTTTAATGTGGTTCACTGGAGTCCTGAAGCCTTAGAAATGGTTTTGTAACCATTTTGATGGCACCTTTTGGGCGTCAATGACTACTTTGTTTCTCATCTGTGTTTGAATTTATTCCAGATCTGTGCTGTTTAAGAATTGCTTTGCCTGCTATGTGATGTCGGACAGGTTCTATCTGAGTGATTTATTTAAAACATATGTCTTAATGGGCTGAAACATTTAAATGTGACAATACATCAACACAGAAGAAATCTGTAAGGTGGAAAACAACAGCACGGAATATCTTATGTATTTGGCACAAAAACACCCCCTACTCAAACAAAACAGCATCAGGCAATAATCAAGCCGTACAAAAGATCAGACGAACGATGAATGAAAAAGAATGAGTGCTGGTGCAGATCTGGAGAAAGAGGCAATGATTCGGAGAACTGTTGTTGATCAGAGGAGGTGGTAGCACAAATGTGGACTTTACAACTCAGTAATGATGAAATTAGATGTTGCTATGCGTCTCACCACAGTACATATTCCATTTACAGCTGAGTCAAATTATTGGGGTAGCAAGTTTTAGATGCTTTTGCTCCGAAAATTAAATCAAATCAATATGTAATCAATGACAACACATTTATCTACCAGCCTTTGTACTTAGGCCGTATTACTACATTGTAAGACAATTTAGTTATCCTAAATTTGACCAGATTGACAAAATTAATTCTTAGGAGTTGAAAACAGTAGTCAAATTACAGTTATATGCAATTACATAATTTAGAAATTTAAGAAATTTTGTCTTGTTAAAACAACAGAATATAAAATATTATATTAAAGTTTTATGTGATAGACCAACACAAGAATTGTGAAGTGGAAAAAAAGACATTTTGTTTTTTTTCCCTTCCTTTAAACTTGATAAGTGTGGTGTTAATGTGTATTTAACCATCTGGACTGTCCTGGCCCTAAATAAATCCCTTTGCCCCCAATTGCCTCTAGAAGTCATTGAAATAGAAAATAGAGTCTACCTGCATGTCATTTAATGACAGTATAAAGACAACTCTTTTACAAAGGCCTCAGAGTTCAGCTTTAGAAAATTAGTGAACAAAAACAGAAAGATGAAGCTGCAAAACTAGCAACATGGCTGTCCACCTAAACTGACAGACAGGGTAAGAACATCTCATTGACCCGTTGTAACTCTGGAGCAGTACTATCCTGGGGAAAACGGATGGAAATAAATACAGGGCCCTACTGCAAGCAAGCATGTTAAGATACTGCGAAACACTTAGAGATTCACTTTACAGTACAACTCTGACGCTAACCATATAGACAGAGCTGCAATGGAACCGTTTAGATGAAATAAATCCAAATAAAAATCTTTAGCAAGCTTTAGAAACAGATATTTCTGATGCTCTCCATTTGATTTCAGTGAGATTTTACAGACAAGCAAAATTATACTTTGTGGAGGTCTATCACATATAATCTCACAGTTGTAGCATAAGAAGATAAAAGAGTTTTGTGTGTTTTTACAATGTGATCTAGGCCTCATTTGACTGTAAAATTAATACAACGCTCCCGTGAAACATGGTAAACCGAACTGAAGCCCAGTGGGATTAAAAAGCCCCTTTCTCTTACTGCCTCTCTGCCTGTGTGTGTGAGTGGCAATGCGTGTCACTTGTGTTAGGTGGTCAGGTGCTCTGTGGGAAGCCAATGGCCTGCATGCCAGTAAATAAGAAGTTGCTAGAAGGTTAGCAGGTTTACCTGGTCCAAGGTAGAGTACCTTGACTTGAGCGTGATGACCTCATCCAGGTGAGCCCTGAATTCTCTCCGTGAGGCCTGGGGGAAGCCACAGGAAAGTCACTCATCTTCAAACCACACAAACACACACGCACGCACACGCACACACACGCACACACACGCACACACTGCTAAGCTAGAAAAGGCATGCACACCCACTCGGACATAAAATATCAGTTAGTGGTGCCTTTGGATTATCCAGACATTTCCAGCCACAGTCTGGTCAAACAACGCACAAAACGGGCTGCACTGACTCTTCAGTCAGACCAAATAAAAATTCAAAGAGTCAAATATCTCACCTAAACCTCCAAAAACACAACAGAACCGCACCGGCTCAGTGGATTTAAAGCAGTTCTAGCAGAGAATGTGATCACATATCTCAGAGTATGCGATAAAACAGACACTAATCTATTATTAACATAGACACTACCAAAGACCTCTCTATGGAGAAATAAAGTAATGAAAAAATTATGGTTTTACTAAAATATCAGTCAAATTATGCTCGAGATTAAAAAGATCTCAGTTTTAGTGAGGCTTAGTGACTGTAACATAATCATTTAAGTCCTGTCACATAAAATAAACAAAGGTACTTAAAATCAACCAGTTTCTATCTATGTGGGGCGACTGTTCAAATAAATGACTCAGTTCACTCAGCTGGACTTTCTCAGATAGGTTAACATTATAAATTCAACAAAATTGGATTATATGCTCATTTGAACTGATATGGGCTGCATTTAATTTAATCTGACTGTATTATAAGTTTGTGTTGGACTAAAAAAAAATTGGACTGAACTTTATTTGCTATAACTGGGTCTGAATTGGACCAGTTTCTCTTGGCTCCATACAAATAAACTGCTTTCAACTGAACTGAATGACTGTATTTATTAACATCGCCCTTTTGACGTTAAGAAAGGTTCGTCAGTGCCATCACACTGGAGACAAGCGGGCAGATATATATATATATATATAATTAATGTATAGCTAACTGCTAGCTGGCTAACATTAGGCTTCTGGAATTGCATATTGGAAATTCATGATCTTTCTACCCTTGAAAAAGATGTACTTGAATAAATAAATTCCTAAATTCATGACTTTAAGCTGTTGATAATTCTGAATGCATGTTTTTTTTTAATTAATATGAAAAAAAGCTACATTTTTGGAGTTTGTGGGGATTTTTAAGGTAGTTTTGGTATTTCAGAAAAACTTGATATAAACGGGGCATCTTTAGCCACGTGTGGTGGAAACTAAATGTCTTGTTTTTTATTTGGAGCTTTCTCAGATACAATTATTTAATGAATTTATAACATCCTCCCCATTTTACTCCTTCCAACTGAGCTCATGTCTCTATTATTACGTCTACAGACCAGAATCACTGGACTATTACCAAGGTAACAAAGGAAAACATCAGAGCTGTGAAAGCTGTTAATCAGTCTTTTATGTGCTGATGTTTATGTGAAGCCCTGTATGTGCAGCAGAGGAAGAGAAATGCACACTGTGCAAGCAATATCACTTACATTCAGATACACAAAACAAGCATCTTTCAACTGTGCTGAGGTTGAAAGATCAGTTAAGCAAATGTATAGTGATGAAAGTTTAGTTATTTGGCTGGGTCTGAAAGGATGGAGACAAGTTAAGAGCTAGAAACAGAATGTTCACCAGAACACCAGAAGACAAGATCCACAATGAAACAGCAACGACAGATGCACAAACACAGAGGGACAACCGAAAAGAAAAAGAAAAATGCAGAGGAGCAGCAGGCAGCACGAAACGGACACGCAGAAACACATGACGGAAACAACAGGGAGACGGGGATTCAAAGGTGCTGCAGGAGGAGGAGGAAGCATCGACTGATGCCACGGTTACGATGCATCACAACACATGCAGGAGTACCTCAGCAATGCTTAGGGTGGATGAACAGGAGGGAAGCCGCGCCTGGTGCCGCGAGAGAGAAAGGAGGGGAGAAGAGAAGAGGTTTAACAGAGCCAAAAGCCGGGTTGAGCAGGGGACAGAGGCACACAGAGACTGACAGGGGGAGCCCTCTGTCATTCAGGACGTCTAGGTCACAGGTCTCTGTGTGACTGTCGTAGATGGGCCGAGGCAGCCAAGGACGGGGTGGACATGGGAGGACAAGACGGGACAGGAAAGCACAAGAAAGGTCAGGACAGCAGGTAGGAGTCTCACTGGGATTCATTCTTCACCAGATCAACTGGAGCAGAGGTTCCACACAGGATAGTCAAACAGTTCAGACACCATCTCATTTCGTTTCCTGGCATGAACAGATCAGCGCTTATGCTTCACATATTAAATAACAAGGTGGCCTGAATTACACGGAAGTTCCGGTTAAGTAATTTTTTGGGTTGTACTGAACAGTTAAATTGTAAAGCGGATCAGATCGTTTGCGTTTATCAGTTACAGTTATTTTCTTTCTCATCTGTTTCTAGGAAAATTCATCACTGAATCAAAGACAGCTGCTGTTCTGCTTTTTCTCCACATGCTAGTTTGTGAAAAAAGAAAAAAAAACAAACATCAAAACAAAAATGGCACAGGGACACTGTGCTGCCAGAGACACTGCTGTCGGTCTGAAAACCTCCCAGCATGGAAGGTGGAACTGTATTCACTGAGAAATGCAGTTAAAGATGTTTCTCAGTAAAATAATGATAAACAATTAACAGAACAGATTACAGGTCCCTGCAAAAGCATCGCTATATTTTCAGATTTACTAGGATTTTGAGTGAGAAGTCAATACCAACTGGGATATAATTTAAAAACGGAAGCAAAGACAATGTTTGAATCTCAACATTTTTCTACAGTAAAAAGTCTGAGCACAATCTTAAATATATTGCAAAATGCAAATTAATTGCTAGAACATTCATTTCTTTTGTTTTGGGAATTTGGAAAACATTTTTCCTTTATAATTGTATATTTTTACAAAGCGCATTATGCAGTAAGTTGTCAAAAAAAAAATATCACACTTTTGTGCTTTAAAGTTCTCAGAAGGAACAAAGCGTTTCAAACCACTTCGAGACGAATACACAACTCGATGAATTGAGAATTTATGTTGGAAAAAACACACGGACGACGCTAACCACAACCACCAGCCGTCTTCATCGCAGCCCCCTCACGGCTCCCTCCACGTCCACATATATAGAAAAATAATGAGCTGAAATAATGAGTGAATTTCCCATGTAGCAGAGACTGAGAGCTGACACAGCTGATTCGACAGGCACATGTTCTGCTGCTCACCAGTCTCCCCCGCTTCCTCGCTGCCCACGTGGTGAGTGAGCATGCTCGGTAGAGCTGCTTGGACAGTCTAATCCCTTTCTCTCCCCCCTTCCCCCAAGGCTTTTCGTTTGTCTTCCCCCTCTTCTGTGTCTGACTGTTGCTCTCTCTTTCTGTCTCTGTCTGTCTTGCTGTCTGTCTATTCAAAGCTCTCTCGCTCTGGTTCCATCCTCCACTGCCCTCCAGGCAAACTCTCAGAGTCAGTGGGTGTGAGTAAGTCGAGACAAATATAATATCACATACGGTGCACGCAAACTTTCACGTACACACACACACACACACACACACACACACTCGCATGCATGTTAAAAAGATGATTCCTAATCCTGACCTGTAAATACTGAATGTGAGCTGAAGAAGGTTTATGTTTAAACACCTGATGGGACGAGTCTTTAGAACAAAACCAGAATGTTTCCTGCACACATGAACAAACACAAAGGACTGAAATTATTTTTGACTTGGAGCCCACAGCAGTTTGACCCATATGGTCAAAATACACTGCAAGGCAAAATAAGGAAGAAACAACTTCTGGCTGTAGCTACTTTCATCTGGTTTCTTCAGGCATACACCTCACATATTACTGGGTAATTCATTCAGTTTTATTTAAACCCCCCTCCCCAAAATATTAAAACCAAACAATTGGATTTTGCATTAAAATATCCAATTAAGTATCCCTTCCCCTTCTATTTCTTATAACTTGTCGGTTCCTTTTCGTTAACACGATACCCAA